AAGTTGAAAGTTTCTGCACAGCGTGCCGCCAATGCTCAAAAGGTCAACGCTTCCAGTAATGTATGTTCCGTGCCATCGGCTGTTGCCGCCGAGGAAGAAGCCGTCGTTGCATTTATGCGTGGTGTTCCGAGCACATAGATCGCTGCACTTTCTTCCGAGATTGCGGGCGCCAGCGCTCAGCTGGCGCCTATTGCGAGTCAGAGTGAATCGTTGAGCGCCCATCTCGTGACGGATTTTCTGACGCGCAATATCTCGGCGATATCTCAGGAACTGTTTATCCGATTTGCATGCTGTCTTTTGTATCTTGTTCCTAAATAACTTAGTGAGGCCATGATAATCTTGTTGTTTTTCAAAAGTTGAGCTAAAAAAAAAATTATGAATGTGTGTGACTGAAAACTGAAACTTCAACGTCGTGCTAAAATTTATCTGCAAAGAAATTAAAAGAGCCTCTGCTAAGCCCAGGGGTTACCTATCCAGCGGTCACCATGACAAATTTCGCACTGCCACGGCCTTTTGCAGATTTTCCAGGATGGGGATAAGGGACACATATAGCCCATCGTGATAAACTCTTATAACTTGAGAATGAATAATCACAGTGTCATGAAACTTTGCAGTTAGTCTTATGTTAGTGTTATGAACATGCCCACCTGCCAGGTATCTCTAGAATTAAAGAAGTTAATTTTCCGTCCCCACCTCCCACCTTAAAACACATTTGGAAATTAAAAGGGAGCAGTGGAGTTTTTTTGTCATGGTCCCCGATTCGCCTTAGCAACCCAACAAACAAAGCTGAACTAGCAGTCAAAATATTAGGCTAAAAGGGCTTTTTTCACAAATTTATAAAATTTTCAAATCTGGTCATTATTATATTTTTAACCGCTTAATTGATTTAAATGAGCCCAGCTCGTCAGGGCAGAGCCGTACCCTAAGCTGTTCAGGGCTACCATAGCTCGTCTGCTTTCCCCGGTTCACGCACTCAACCGTTTCAAACAAACCAGGCTCGCTCATGGCTAAGTTTCAGGCTCTGCCAACATATGGCAGCACTGAATTTTTAGAATTTTGCTCCCCTTCTGTTTGTGGCTAGAAATTTGATGTTGAAGGCAACAAATGTAATTTTGGAGACAATAGACCTTTTGCGAAATCCCCCAAGCGCCCCGGTCCGCGCACGAAGTATTGTGGGAGAGACTGTCCCTCGGCCAGGCGAGGGACAGTCTCTCCCACAATACTTCCTTCCCTCTCCCACAATACTTCCTTCGCCTGGCCGCTCTCCGGCCAGGCGAGGGAAGTATTGTGGGAGAGACTGTCCCTCGCCTGGCCGCTCTGCGGACAGGCGAGGAGATCGCATTGCCCTGTCGCTTGCCTCCTCTTAATCTTCAGTTTTTCGATTCCATTACCTATTTCTTATTGCTTCTAAGTGTTCCTATTCTCTTCTGCGCGCGGTATTTTTTGTATATATATAGTATTTGTGTCGTTATTTTGCTTTTTTCGACGGGAGTGCCAACGGACAACAAGCCGCTTTGCGCGTCGTTCCCCAGGTGAGTACTACCGCTGCTACCGATTCCTATCGCGCTGTTAGCTGTTCATTTTGGTTCATTTGACCCGCGTGCAGTCGAGAGGAGCCGTTTATGAACACCCACGCACATGTCATAGGGGTAGGCAGAGCTTTGAATCAACTATCGCGACGCAAGAGCCAAGTGCGCTGTGATTTGGCCGCCTGCGCTCGCTCCGTTGACTCGCACTGTAGCGTGTGCCTTCGAGTGCCGGTTACTTGACCAAGATAGAGCACGCCGCTTTGTCGCCACGAACCATTTGTGCGAATGTTTGCGAAGCTGAGGCATATGCAACGCTGCGGCGCATGACAACTGCGTGCTGCGGCACGATCCCTTCGCAAACGCCGACAGCCCAATGTCGCGGCTTGAATGCGTCTATGGCATGCCTTCGTAATCTATCTGCTACGCGGTTGTCAGTTGCCAACCCCCTTTTTCAAGTGCAGAGATGTTCTGCCACAAATCATTTGTCCGAATGCCTGCGAAGCCGTAACACCGTTCGTCATATCCGACGTGCAGTGCCTGACAGACTGCGCGCAGCAGCGCGAGCCCTTCGCAAGCGCCGGTGGCCCAACGTCTCGGCTTGTCTGTGCTTATGGTATGCTTTCTTAAGGCTGAACTCCATGGGACAAATATGCTGCGAAAAAGTGACGAATTTTGCCCGGCGGCTTTTGCTCTGCACGTGGCATCAGAACAGTGGCTGCTACGTCGCGCGCAAAGTGAGCGTGCCATCGGGTGGCCTTCATCAGTTATTCGTCGCATAATTCACTCCATGGAGTTCAGCCTTCAATCTATCTGCTAAGCGGTTGTCAGTTGCAAACACCCTTTTTCAAGTGCAAAGATGTCCTGTCACCCACGCAGCCACCTTGGAATTCATGGTTCCTTCGATAATCTTATTTCTCGAGTCAAGATGTCAGCTGATGCTCGAGTCAAGATGTCAGCTGATGCTCGAGTCAAGATGTCAGCTGATGCTCGAGTCAAGATGTCAGCAACTGACAACCGCCGAGGAGACTGATCATGAATGCATGCCAAAGGCGCATACAAGCCGCGACATTGAACCGACGGCGCTTGCTAAAGGCTCACACCGCTGCGTGCAGTTGTCAGGCGCCACAGCGTTGGATATGCCGAACGGTGTTACAGTCTCACAAGCGTTTGGACAAATGATTCGCGATGGCAAAGCGGCGTGCTGTATCTTGGTCAAGTCAAGCGTCACTCGAAGGCATACGCTGCAGTGCGAGTCAACGGAGCGAGTGCGGGCAGCCAAATCACAGCGCACTCGGCTCTTGCGTCGCGATTGTTGATTCAGAGCTCTGCCTGCCCCTATGACATGTGCGCGGGTGTTCATAAACGGCTCCTCTCGAGTGCACGCAGGTCAAATAAACCAAAATGAACAGCTAACAGCGCGATAGGAATCGGTAGCAAAGGTAGTACTCACCCGAGGAATGACGTGCGAAGCGGCGTGTTGTCCGTCGGCACTCCCGTCGAATAAAGCGAAATAAAGACACAGATACTATATATATGCAAGAAATATCGCACGCAGAAGGGATTAGGAACACTTAGAAGCAATAAAAATACACTGGAATAAAATAGGTAATGGAACCGAAAAACAGAGGATTAAGAGGAGGCAAGCGACAAGGCAATGCGACCTCAAGGCAGAGCGGCCAGGCGAGGGACAGTCTCTCCCACAATTCCTCGCGCGCAAGCCGGGGCGCTTGGGAGAATTGCAAATCGTCTATTAAGCAGTTGAAGGTCATAAATTCCCAAAAACTAAAAATGGTTAAGCAGTTGAAGGTCTCTAATGGCAACAATCAAAAAGCAAAGCCAGTGACAGGCAAAGCTTCTCTTTGGGACGTAGAATCTGTTCCCAACTGATTTTAAGAAGTTTGATTGTGTCAAATGAATGCTTTGAAAGCACACTCCAACCCTCGCAAAGCGGCATGAAACAAATGCGAGGCATTCCCCACTTTCTACACCGCCTGCCTGACCAGCAAGCCTGCCTGTCAGTGACTGCACGACACCGAAAAGTGTGGATATAGTTAAACGTTGGCTTCGGCATCGCCTCCGTCTGCCTATTTCACAAATACTATCCTGAATATAGAAATACCAAATAGCAGGCTGGAATGGGTAAAGGCGAGATATTAAAAAAATATAGTAAGTTTGGGTAGCTAAAAAGAAACTGCCAGAGCACCCCCTTTAAGTATCCCTTCAAACACGTAACGTCTGAAAAAGCTAGCTCTCTTCTTAACTCCTCAGACGTCGCGGTGCAGGGTGACATCACATCACGCGACGTACACGATGTCACACGACCATGAGGAAAGCATGCGAGCACATGACGTGATGTTAAAGAAAACCTTTCCAGACAGAAACTGGGGGAGAGATGAGAGCACATGGGAACGTCTGTGCGCCCGTCTCTGGTTTGGAATGGTGAGTGGGTAGACGCAAAGCTAGCCACCTTCATCTCTACCCAACCTGAACGCATTCAAGCGTCGGGTGTCCGGCATTCGAACAGCGAAAAGAGACAAAAGCAAGTAGCTTTGCACCTCCCCACCCGTCGTCCCAACTAGGGATCAGCACTCTATGTCCCCACATGCTCTCATCTACTCAATGTCACACTGTCACGTGACAGGACATGTGCTATTTCACATATGATACATCATATGACATGTCACATGCCACACGTGTCATGACACGTGTCACTGTAGTGCGACATGGCAACGCTGCCGAACCTACATCCAGGCGCCATGGAGCTAAGATAACAATCTAGAGGGAAAGGTCCTATGCCTTTTGGCCACTTTGACGTACACAAATAAGCGTGGAAAGATCACTTGCAAGGTAAACATCTACCATAATATAACTAGAGATATCCCCGAATGATAACCCACCCATATTTTTGGCACAATTTGCTATTCTTTCAAAAACATCGAAAGATAGCCCACTTTAGTAATTGCAACAAGGAACTCGGTAGAAATGGTACACTGCCGACTGGGAACGACGGTCGAATTTGGTTCGTCGCTCCTCCCTGCAACAGAGAGTGTGCCGGGTCGCAGAATGTAAAACTGGCACTTTTCAACTTTCTTTTATCACACACCGAAAGTTGAACCACTCCTTATTTTAGTTTGATTTGCTTTCGATTTAAGGTGGGCTATTTCTCATGACATTACGGTAGTGTTTACCTAGCTCTATTTTGCACGAAAATAGTGGTTTTACGCAATGTATAAAAACAAATAAAGTCGACGAGCAGGCAAACAACTTGCTCGTTGCGGCAAGAACAGCAAGCCCAACTTATCGTCCACTTTCTTTTTTTTTTCCTTCTTTTCCGTCGCTTCCCTTTCCGTTCCCTCTCTCGTGCTCACCGACGTTGGCACTTACAACTTGTAGCATCCAGTTCCCTCCCTCTACCCCTTCCCGGGCGCAGACACAGCAAAAGCTTGACCCGGGAATGCCTTTGGGACTCACGTGAAGCGTGCTATGAGATGCAGCAGCTCTTGCGGCAGCTGAGCACGTCCGCGGCCGAGTGGCGCCTGCGGTGCTTGCGTGGCCGGTGCTCTCCGGCGCTGGTGCCCCTCAGGGGCAGGAGCAGGGCCCGGTCCTGCGGGGAGCCCTCCAGGTGGGGGCGGGGGTAGGAGGAGCTCATGAAGTACGACTTGAGGCAGGACTTGAGGGGCCCCGGCAAGGGCAGCTGCTCTATGCGGTACACGCTCGTGCAGCCCACGATGGTGCGGCAGCACAGCTCCTGGAGCGAAAGCACTGCGAGGGAGGGGGGGGATGGTCAATTGTCTGACATACGAGCAAATATAGTCAAATATTGAATTCACAATGAGGGGGGTCGTCTAGACTAAATCGCACGAGGGCTTTATTCAATACAGATTCAAGCATATGTTGAAATATATTTGCGGATGCACAAGGATCGACAAGCGTGAAACTGAAAATATAAGTTTAATCAGCAAACTTGCATCAGAAGAAATAGAAAGAATGAGCGTCGAGAAAGCAGCAACAAGCATTGAAGTATCGACGGGACAGCTGGATAGCGCAAGAGTTAGTAAGGCCATGTTGGCCTCCTTAAACATTCCATATCTCAAACATTCGGTCTAGAATGTCCGAGTGTCGAACGTTTAAGGTGCGTTTATACTTCAACGTAATGTCGACGGGCGCGGCGTAGCGCAGCGCACACTGATACTGATTGGTCGCAGATATCGAGTTCCTGGTCGCCGGCCAATGAAAGGCGCACGTTCTGCGCTACGCTGCGTTTACTGCGCTCAACGTCGGAGTATAAACAGCCCTTTAGGGTAAGAGTGAGCGCTAATCTTCTAGAAGTGTGGAGTAGCGTTCCCTCTCGGCCATGTACGTGGCAACATTCCTTTATCCCTCTGGAAATCAATAAGAGGAATTGTCTACCAAACGAAACTGTTAACCTACCATCGCTCGACGTTTTTGCAGATTCTATTAGAGCTCTCAAGTTAAATTAGCTTCGAACGATTGTATGTAACCACCCCTGCTATGGCTTACTTTTGTAAGGCACGGTATCCTCTAAATAAATAAATAATAATACACATATCAGTACTGTGAACGTCACATTAAAAAATATTTCAGATCTAAGAAAACTTCCAAAATCCCCATTTCCAATTTTTATATAGTTTTAGTCTAAAACTATTTTGGTAGTGCGAATTTCAAAATACTCAATATTTCGAACAAACATAAACATCTTGAACACCAGAAACACCTGGGTGTTCGGGAGAACACTCAGATGTTCAAGAGGTCAAATGCACCCCGTTATTTGTAACAGATAATTTAATCGCTCTGCACATAGCACACCTGTCTTACAAATTTATTTTCTAAAAAATAAACTAAACAATTCATCTGCTTTTGCCACTTGGCAGCTGTCAACAATGACAACTATTTCTATCACCAGACAATGGTCGGTGGCAAATGCGCACTAGGCCTAGTCCTCGTCTCGTACTCATTAAGTTACGTCGACCAGAACTTCCTTGTGCCGCGAAATTCGGTTTGACGCCTAGAAAGACAAAGGCCCAGAGGCAGCGCTTGTGGACAGATTGAATCCGCACCCAGCTCCGATCTGCGAGTACCATCGGTAAGTAGCACGTGTTCCTCGGAAGCTGTACCGATGCTTCTGACATGCTTCGTGAGAACTTGGTCGGCACAAAATCGTTTGTCCCACAGAGTTTACGCTGCACCTACAAGAAAAATATTTGAAAAACTTTCTATAACGTCAAACACTTACCGATTGGAAACGACCGAGTGCCATCTCTACGTGAAGATGGGTTATCACTTTCGTAGGATCTACCTATTAGTGACGATTCACGATACTGTCACTATAGTGATCTCAAAATACTAATCAATTTTCGGTAGTTCTTCTTGAAATTCATTAAATCAAGGTTTGACTGCACTATGGTGCCAGGAATGCACCTCCAACTGGTTTGTTCACCGCGTCGTAAAAAGACGTTCCTCGATTTCTGCCTGCTGACGTCGTACAAGTGCAGCGATGCAATTCACCAGGGTCGTTTTGTAGCAGCCAAAAGTCAATTATGGAGCAGCAAAAGTACTTTTGGAGCACAGGCACAAACTTTTATTTTTGTTCGTACCACCGTGGATATTGGATGTCAAGATTCGTGTGTTGGCCTATCCAACTAAAAAAACATGCATGCTTTGCCCTCACACTTCAGTGCAATGCAGGTTTTGATTTCCTCAAACACAAAACTAGCTGTTCAGTTGCACATGGAAGCACTAGGCACGACAACAAGATGCTGATCGATGAAGGACAGAATGGACTGCTATGAATGGTCATTTTAGGTTTGAAATAAAATGTAAACCGAATAGTGTATTCCGCTAAAAGAATGTTAGAATAATCTTGAGCACAAAAATGAATGTTTCATTCAATTTCTAAAGGTTGTAATAAAACAAATTCGTAAATCCTATTAAAAAAAAAAAAAAATCTTGCCAACATTTGGTACGTAGAACTTTGTAATAACAGAAATTGGCATGTGAACGGTAAATATGCCTTCTTAAAACAATGCAGCCAAAGTCGTCAAGGTCCCTCCTACTGTTCCACCTAATTTAGTTTTAATCTATTTATCGACTGAAACTCGAACGAATAAAACATAGAGAAAGCGGACAACTAAACGAAGCAGTTAATATAAAAATAAACCTATAGAGCAGTTCATATTAATTTTCTCGCGAGTCGCCTCGCTAAATCCCGAATTTAAAAATGTTGCGGGGATACCGCAGTCTATCGTGAATAATAGCCGCAGTTTAGTTGAGAAATTTTTACTGCAACTAACAGCAGTTAGATTAACACTCACAAGGTTCCTTTTTTTTAATATCCCGAACGCTCGCACATTGAATGCCCCACTCTCAGGGAATCCTTTTCCTAAACAAGATAAACAAAATAACAACGATGCTTGCTTCGCGGTTGCCACTTCGCTACAGCACACAAGAGAAGTGCACTCGACAAAGCTAACTTGCGCGCCAGAGCAGACTAGGAACACGAGATATTGCAAAAATTTTGAGTACTGTCAGTGTTTGACAACGACGGAGAGCTTAAATAGGACCGTACATTATTTGCGGCCAAAGTATAAAGGTCTGAAAATTTTCACGAGCCCACCGTAACAATCTGGACACATGCCATCGCATCGTAACAATCTGGACCGGGCCATCGCGTTTTCAGTATTAATAAAGTGAAATCGAGTTTTGGTGCAAAGCTGGCACGAGTTTCTTACACTTCGGCTAAATGCGGCAAGATGCAGCAGCGTAAGCCCTTTGGTGCAGTTTGGTGCACATGGCGCAGCAATCGCTCCGCCGGAGGTGCCGCGTCGTCGCCGGGCGCGACCCTGGCGGCGTCGCAGCGGTGCCTGCCGCAAGCACCCGTTCCGCTGCGGGTCACTTCCAGCTCCACAGTTCACGAAAGCTTCGACAGCCAGGGGCAGGGATGCCACGACGATTGCGACATTTGCATTTGCTCACGCTTTTGGCAACGTTTGTACAACCAGCCGCCGAGATTGCGACGTCCGACGGCACGACGCTTGGGCTTTTGCGACAACGTCCGTTGTCGCTTCGGGGCACTTTGGTGTTTGGGGTGGAATGGGACACTGAACACGCCGGATGGATACAGTGGAATCTCGTTGACATGATTCGGCATAATATGATTTCAGTATAATACATTGTTTTTTTTTTCTTCCCAGCCAACATGCCATAGGAGCAATGTATTTTGATACCAACAATACGATCATACATTTGCTTGACATCGGATAATACGGCTTCAAAAGTGGGTTTTTATGGGCATTTAAAAAAATGTATGCCTTTACATTCCAGTATACTGGAATCAATGAGCTCGAATCACAAACGACCCGTTGCACGACCACAGCAAGACAGCCACAGTTAAAGGGCAACTCCGCTCAATTCCGAAAAATTTAGGCTTACATGTGATTCCATTTCACAAAGCACTACTAAACAACTCTACGTCTTCGGATTCGCGAAATGTGAAATATTATTTGTGTAATCCTAATTTAAACACCAGCTGATACCGAAACCGAAACTTCGGTTGCGTCAGGCAACATTGGTCTCCTGTGGTCAGAGTCATGGGCACGTCACGTCGAGCCACGTGGTCTTGTGACGTTCGGGAGGGGGGCGAGGGACAGGACACGCGATGCACGCAGGTCGCTTCGCGTGGCGTGGATAGTGACGGCCCGGGCGAGAGGGGGAAGGGGAGAAGACGAAAGAGAAAGGGAGCGGAGAAACAGACCGATAAGCGCGCAGGGCAGCGCAAACTAGCGCATCCGCGTTGCGGTGACCACGTGAACGCCCGGTCAGCCAACACCGGGAGGAGAAACTCATGACGTCCTCGTTCAATTTCGCTCTGAGAAGTAAAAACAAGCAAAACGTGAGAATGACGTACACATGCATCTGACGTAGTGTCTCAACGTTTGCCGCTCCAACTCCGTCGCACTGACTGCGCTGACGATTGCGTCTCGCGTCGCACGCTAGAGTTGGCAGATTTCGGCGACTTGGCTCACTTGAAGGTTTGCTGGCCAGTTTATTAAATATATAGATGGAATTAGATCGTAATATTTGACATGGGGTCTTCCTATATGATACTGAAGAGGGCTACATAGTTTTCTAAATATCAAAAATGAAGCGGAGTTGCCCTTTAACGCTGGGTTGTTCCAACATGGCCACCCAGTCAGGTGTTGCTGTTCGCCATCAAGCGGCAAGTAGCACACTCTGGTTTCACGTGGCTAGGTGTGCGTTGCGCCCAGTTGGTAGCATTGGCGATGCTGGCCGCCTCTTGCGCAATTCTTGCGATTCCGCGAGTTTTCTTTAGTTTGTCGAGTGCGCTTTGTCTCGCTTTGTATGTTTGTTTTCTGGTGCTCCTTATTCACGGCTCTCATGGTATCACTAACCACCGTGACAGTGTCAAGAAAAAGTAAATCGCTGTCTCTAAAAGAAAAAAAAAAGGACATTATCTGCAAGGTCGAAGAAGGCCCGAAGAAGAAGCGCGTAGACCCTGGCACGCGATCTAGGCTTGCCGGTTTCAACTCTTCACAGTATCGTCGGCAAGCGGGAAGAAATCCCTTCGGCGCCAGTGTCAAGCAAACAAGAGGTGCACAGCATGCACAGATACAAGAGATTCTCCTGGCTTGGTTTAAAGAAGTATGAGCAGCAGGTGTGTATCAACGGTAAAGTTCTCCGCAAGAAGGTCGATGAGATCGCGAGCTGGCCGACTTAACTGTGGATTTTTTTTTTTTTTTAACTTTCAAAATAACTAGTTTACTGATATTGAAAAGAAAACCCAAACCAAAAATGATAGACTATTTCAAGGCTGCGGAATAAAAGCAAGTTTCTCACCGGGTGTGCATATTTTATTAAATTTTTGAGCTCATTTTGGATAATACGATTTGTGGGTAATAAGCTTTATTTTCAGTTCCCGTGGAAATCGTATCAATGAGATTGCACTGTACACGTTCCAGGCAGCTTGGCATTACTATGCGCCAACGCATCAGTGCCACCCATTGGGCAGCCCTGGACCAATTTTCAACTGGCATGTAACAAAACCGAAGGTTCTGCACTATTTGCGAGGTCGAATCTACCAGCTACCTACGACAAACGGCCAATCCTAATATACAGTCGAACCTCGATATAACGAACTTCAATGTAACGAAATCCTCGATTTAACGAAGTATTTTATTTTTCATAATTTCTTGCCCATAGACCCCATGTATTTTTAGTCCCTATATAACGAAGTCCATTTTGCTGCTATTTCAATATAACGAAGCGCCATTGCCATAGAAGGCAATAAATAAATCAACTCTAAAAAACAACTGCGCAAAAAAATTGTGGTTAAAAAAAAAATTATGCGCAAACGCGAGCGCTTGATAGGTTACTTCACGGGGACAGGCCTTCCAACGTTCCTAGGCTGCCCGAGGATGCGGCGCCGGTAGCGCCGGCGAGGCATGCGGCAAAGCGGATTCCGCGAGGCTGGCCAGAAAATGCCGGGCAAAAAGTTAACACGGCATAACAGCATCACCACTGACATTCACTGATCATCATAGTCCACTGTACCGCGGGTAGCGCGGGAGCCAACTTCAGCGGGGGAGCGACGTGATGGCGCGACCGCACGGGCAGTGCCATCTAGGAGAAGACCGAAAAGACCGATTATCGTCTAGCGAGCGTGATGTAAAGCAAAGGCGCAAGCACACTGTGGGCGCAAGGGGGCAAGTAAACTCAGTGCGGTCAAGAGTGCTGTGTAGGTTGGAAACATTGGCACCGCCTAAACTAAACAGCTTTATTTTTTAACCGGGCGGTTCACTCACGTGCTTGCTGCCATAAGGAAACGTAAAGTTCTTTCTTTGGATGAGAAAGCAAACGTTTTGGACGCCATCCTGAAGAAACTGCCGAGATCACGAGCACTCTAGAAGTGCTTACGCAATGGACGTACTGAGGAGGTACACGGCGTCGCATGGGCAGCAAGATGCCGTGCAAGCGCTCTGGGCGCTCGAACGCCGTATGACGCCGCCGACGCCGCTGCTACTGTCGGACAAGGCGCAAGCAAAACTCGCGGACTACTTTGCCCCTAAATAAATGTCATTTTCGGTGAGTTTTCATACCCGTAAAATGTTTCGGAATTTTTTTTTTTTTTTTTGCATGCTAAAGCCAAATTTCGATTTAGCGAAATTTCAATGTAACGAAGTAAATTGCGAATTTTACCGACTTCGTTACATCGAGGTTCAACTGTAGTCCAAATTATCTCGACCCTGCGATAAAAGAATAATGCGGGAAAAATTATGAAAATGTAAGCGGAGTTTGGAAGTCTTCCAGGTCCACCCAACATATAGTGCCAGCGTGTTAAGCGGTTACAAGGATGCAACACTGCCTCTATCGTGTCGTGCGCACACTTGGACAGCGGGCAGTTAGGCGGCCCCAACGTGCGTCTCGGGTCTCTGCCGAAGACGAGAAATTTAGCCAGTACGGTACCACTGCCAGCACGGAATCTTTGATGTGCATCGCGCAGTAGCGATTACACGACCACGCCCCGGTGCAATGCACATCCGGATTGAGACTGGCGGGGGTGGGAATCGAACCGAATATACCTAGGTTGAGCGACGCAAACTTTGGCTTCGTGTGCTCCGAGCTATGTGCGTTCTGCGATCTTACAGTAGATCCACCTAGACCGAAGACGTCGAATACTTCCCGCAAACAAAGAATACGTCCATGGGTGCCACGCGGCGGCCGTAAAACAACGTCGTACGACCCTGTAAACTTTCCCACTAAATTTAGCAGGAAGCGAATGCATTCTCCATTCGTGACATTTCGTCTGCCCGTCCCCAGTGTTATATCTCGTCTGTCTCATTAAAGGGGGAATTAAAGCAGCTTCCGAGATAGTCTATGTTGACAACTCAATCTACGGCCTCCGAGCATTTCAAATAAATTCAAGTTTAGATTGATAAGCGTCAGATTTCCCTATGAAAAACAAGAACAAAGATTGTGATATGACCAATTTTTTGTGAACGGCGTATAAACTGGAGGGCACCATCGGACGAGTGACAGCCAATTGCTGTCGATCACTTTCCAGGTGGCAAGGAGGCCGACCAACGGCAGACTGATTTTCCAATGTGTGCGATTTGCGTGTGGGAAGCGATCACTTGGGATTGGCTGATGCATGTTCAACATTACCCTCTGGTTTTTGCACCGAATTGCAAAAAAACAGGGCTGTCGCATCTTTGACTCCGTTTTTAAGGGGCAAATCGGACACGTGTCAATCTAACAAGGGTGTCGCTATCTTTGATCTTGCTTTTCATGGGGAAATTGGATGCACATGAACCTTTAAAGGAGACCGAAGATGAGGACTAGAGGAGGATATCAAATATAACGAAAAAATGGCAACCATTCTTTTATAATGTGGTTGCTGGGTTCTTATCTGTTGGAACACTACAAACCTAATCTTGGTTTTTTTTTAGAATGCTTAGAGGCTGTAGACAGAGTCATGACCATAAATGGACTATCTAAAAAATCGTACGGGTGCCCGTTTTACATTTAGTTGTCTTAAAATTACCTTTGGAGCCAGAAAACACATCTTAAGGGGGGATATGGCCTGGGAGGGTCAACTTTTGAACCCTTCACCCAATTTGGTTAAAATTTTGAGGGTTATTTCAGTACTATGAGGAAGGATAATCTGCTAAGTTTTAGCATTATTGGTCAACTTTACAGCATGCTACGGTTCTCGCACTTCAGAAAAAAGACACTTCATTAGGAAGTCTATCGTAGAAAAATAAAATTAGCTGGTGGCAAACTTTTTGCTTTAATGTGAATAACAATACCCACAGTGCAACCTAGATAAAAAATAAATTGCAAAATATGCAATTATAACAAAAATAAGAACATCCCAAAATTTAAAAAAAAAATGTAAAATTTTTGTTTAAAAAAAAAATTTTTTTTTTTTATGAAGGAGTAGATTTTTTGAACTGTGAAGTAGTCTATCTTGTTCCCCAGAAAATTTCAGTCCCAGAAAACCTTGAATGATGTCCCTCTGTATTCAGAATGTCAAATGATAGCTTTCCTAAAACAAGAATTCCTGCCAAAAAGTGAAACTGAGAAAAATGCGTTTGAAGTTTCAACTTGTTTTTTTTTTATTTTCGGACGATGCCAGAAACTTGAAATTTACCCGAGTCATTGGTGGCACCTTCAACTACATGAGCATGAGGAGGGCAGTGCGTTGAGGCCCCCGAAGAGATTCGTGAGCTTTGTGAAACTGATGCCACAGTCTCTTCCAACGACGCCTAGACGTACCGCGAGTTCGTTCTCTCGTTGCCGATTGATGGTGAGTGCGGTGTCGCGCCGATGTCTCCGCAAGTCGAGCAGCTAACAACAAACTAAAGGTTGATGTCAACTTCTTGTAAGCTCAGTAGTTTTCCGTGGCACTTGAGGCAGAGTAAAATCGCAACAAGAGTCTGCATGGCGGACACATTGAGGAGCTGTTCAGGGGCTTTTCAACGGGAGCGTCTGTCAGCTCCGGGTCGTCCGTAATCCCCGCGTCGAAATCGCGCAGGCTGAGCTTCCTCTCGAACGTGGTCAGCACATCCGATTCGGAGATGAAGCTGTAGACTCCGATGTCCGCCAAGCACCAGTTGAGCTTGGAGATCGTGACGACGGTGGCGGAGATGGCGACGATGGTGCCGGCGGAGACGGGTCCCCGTCTCCGCCGGCCCTTTGTTTCCGCCGTTGAGAACGCCGGCCAAAGCTACTGCGAGTGCTAACTTTGGAAGCAGGCATTTCTCGGCAGAAAAACTACCGGGAACAAAGAGGGAAAACGAATCTAAACAGCGGCAAACTAGCGATACGATCAGAAGTGAAAGAAGCTGCCGATAGCGCGCGCAGGCGGCCAATCGTGAGCCCTGTTTCGGGTCACAACCAATGGGATTGCTGGTATCATAGTTCCCACGTTTTTTCTGCTTGTATGTACGGGGTTCTCCCGGGACACAGATAGCCTCAAACGTAGCAAGCTTCTATGGGCAGAAACTAGAAGAAACGGCGCTTCCAACGAGGGTAAGATATCTCGGCTGCGTCGAACGAGCGCGGAGTAGGCCTAATTTGAAAATGCCGAACTTCGCCGTCTGCTTGCTCGGCGGGTCGCCGCGCGCGGCCGCGAGCTTGCCGAAAATAATTTTTTTGTGAAATAAATACTGCGCATTTATAAATAAAACTTTCTGAAACTATGCTTCAGAACATAGTGAACCCAAATATAATATTTTTTGAAAATGCATTTTTTCGAAAAAAAAATGGAATTTCGTGGCCGTATCCCCCCTTAAAGTAAAAAGAGAAAGAAGGGGAACTCACCCCTGTTGGCCTTCCAGAGGTGCTTCATGCCGTTCCTGCGGAGGGCCATGCGGGACAGCTCCACGAAGGACTCGGTGACGTTGAAGTCGCACAGGGGGCTCACCTCGAAGAAGGCCATGCCGTGCTTATGGGCATACTCCGCCGCCTCATGCTGGCCCACCTCCCGCCGGAAGGCCAGGTGCAGCCGGTTGCCCATCAAGATCTTGGAGATGCCCGGGGCGTGCTGCGACAGCAAGGTGCCCATACGTCAGAAGGGCACCAAGGATAGATGACAACCACAAGGGGACATCATCGAGATGGACTAATTCCAGGTAAAGCGGACATCACCGAACAAGGCACCAAGGGCAGGTGTGGACCATAAGAGGACATCATTCAGAGAGGTGCATAAGCCAGGTAAAGAGGACGTCAGCAAACAAGACATCAAGAGCAGGTGGAAACATCAAACATTACCGAACCAAGCACCAAGGCCAGGAGGGCCCACAAGAAGGTATCACCTAAACAGTTTATCAAGGTCAGGTGACGACTACAAGAGGGCATCACCAAAAAAGGTGCCAAGGCTAGGTAAAGACCACAAGACCTCATCAAAAAATGACCGCATCTCCACGTGGTGAATGATGTTGATTGGGGCGAAGCTCTGGTGGTGCTGATGATACTGATTTTGTTCATAGGTAGTGATGATGTCAGAAAGAGAATGCGTGGTATAGAACGTGGTTATATACGTATTTGAGCATTTGACTGCAGCGCCCTCTCGTCTATAAACATTGAGCCAATGCATGCAAAGTTTAACGCGATTATATACGCATTTGACCGCAGCGCCCCCTCTTGTATAGACGTTGAGCGGCTACATGCAATGTTTCATTAATGACATTCCCAGCTCTTGAGTTACTACCACATCTCAGAGCCACCTACTCGTCCCGCAGTCGTGGCCAAGTGGTTAAGGCGATGGACTGGAAATCCATTGGGGTCTCCCCGCAGAGGTTCGAATCCTGTCAACTGCGCAAACATTTTTTTTTTTAAGAAGACAGATGAGATGGCAATCGATGTGAGCACGGACGCCGAACGGACGAGGCTAAACCCTAAGGAGCTTCGCCCCTAAAAGGCATGAAGGCCAGGTGGGGACCACAGGAGGGCATCGACCATACAAGTGCCAGGGCCATGTGGGAACAACAAAAGGGCATCACCAAAACAGGCACCAACGCCAGGTGATCACCACAAGAAAACATCCAAACAGGCATTAAGGTCTAAGGAAGGGGACAGAATCCAAACAGGTACTAAGGTTAGCTGGAGACCACAAGAGGACATTACCTAAACAGGCACCAAGGCCAGGTGGGGACCATAAGAGGGCATCAGCCAAACAGGCACCAAGGCCAGGCAGAGACCCATCTGGCTTCAAAATCTGCCCGATATTGGGAATTCCACTAACAAAATAACCGCCAGAAATTGTAAAATGGACCTGCCAAGCTCTCCCCAATATGATTTATCTTCTTTCTATAGACCAGTGTCCGGAAGTGCTCGTTTTAGCCTCGACCGCAAGGAGCAAAAGCGAACAATAATCTCGAACCCAGACGCTCACGGGGAGGGGGGGCTGCGTCGGCCTGCGCAGCCGCTTCCCGTTGAGGGCTTCTTCGCTGGTGTGCCGACTGCCGTTTCGCCGGCATCGGTCCTGTTTACCGCGGTATGTGAGTATAGTGCCCATAATGTGAGAGGCGTGTGTCCATACGCCACTTTGCCGCTGTTGGTTTCCATCTAGCCGAGCCAGAAAACATCTCGCGACGAGTTGTTTCTCTTATTTTCTTGATCGAGATGGGTTCTCGAATGTTCACGACATCTTATCTGTTGAAGAACGGGCCGCGGAGGCTTCTGGTGAAGACATCTTTCACGATGTGCCGGTGCATTCGGACAGCCTGCCACATCCAGCTCACCAAAGCAACGCCGCCAATGCAGCCCCCCCCCCCCCTCCTGCCTGCCAGTTCTCTCCGCGTGGTGGCGCGAGCGTAGATAAACGTGGTGGCGCCCTGGAATTGGCGCAGACACTGGTCTATAGACAGACACGCTGTTTACAAACAAGCCCGCGTTTGCCGACACCAGGTGTGGGCACTGTGCGAGCGCAGAAACCAGATTCGCGTCAAGTGAAGCTTCTGTGCATGCGCCGTTGCTACAACAGCACCACCGCACAGGGGTTACGTCAGAGCCGTGTGTTGGTCTATACATATATAAAAAATGAACTGTGTATGCCAGGCTGCATATCACAACAACGCAAGGGATGAGAAATGAGAGTGCACTCACTTTCTCCACCTCCTGGAGCCAGCGGCCAAGGCCATCAAAGGACCAGCGGTTGGTGATGTCGTATACCAGGATGATGCCCTGGGCGCCCCTCGAGTAGGACCGGATGATGGTCGAAAAGCGGCCCTGCCCAGACGTGTCCCTGAGGAAAGAATGACAGTCATTGTGTTCTAAAGGCACGGGCAGAGGAAAACAAGGGATCCATCCAACCAAAGGCTGATCCAAAAGCCAAGTTGACACATGAGTCCAAGCCTTCTTTAAAGCCAACACCACTCTTCTCTAGCCTTGTCTCTTATCCTTGTAGGTACAATAGGCACATTAAAGGCCGGGATGTGTAAACACTGGTTTAGATTTCTAGCTAAAATAATACAAAAGAGGAAGTATGTTGTGGTTTTCCTTTGCACTGCAAAGGCTATGAATGACACAGTGCTATTCAATTTTAATCACTAATCACAAACCCTTAACTTAAAGTAACAAAGGGCATTGATGCCCAAGAGCATTTTATCACTATTCTGTCCTCAACATTTAAGCCTTTGATTATTCATGTCCCACATATCTTCTCCACATGTGCTATGTCATCTTACGGCAAAGTCAAATTAGGGGTTTTACATACCAAACCAGAAAAGTCATCTGACAAACCCCAGCAGAGGACTGGGGATTCATTTCAATCACCTGGGGATCTTTCCACGTGCAACTGAAATCTTGGTTACACGGAGCCCTCTGCAATAAGCCTCATCAAATAACGGGCACCTCAACCGGGATTCGAGTTTGCCACCTAGGGATGCATAGGAGCCACTGGGGCAGCTGCAATCTTATGACAATTTTTAAAACTAGAGACGTCATACCGGTCACTAACCAAGTCTTAAAAACGGTTCTGCAGTTTATTGAAAGTCTACGTCAATAGTCCATTTCTAGACACAAACTGTGTCTAGATACAGTGTCTGTGTCCGGACACGGTATCCAGAGATTCAGACTGCACCGAGACGCAGATGTGTCCAAAGACGTACAGACATGTCCAGAGACACAGACCGTGTTTAGTGACAAAAACGGTGTCCAGAGACAAAAACTGTGTCCAAAGACTGTATGTGCATCCAGAGAGACAGAGAATGCCGGTTTGCAACAAGCCGCGTTCGCCAAACTGCCTCACCAGAGGTGCAGTCGGATCCGCTTGCCGTCCAGCAGCACGGTGGTGGTGCGGTACGAGGCAAAGCCGCCGGGAGCACTGAAAGGCGACTCCAGGGCCCCGTCCTCGAAGCCTCCCAGGATCTCCCCCTTGCCCACATCACTGTCCCCGACCAGCAGGAACTTGAGCAGGTAGTCGTACGTCTTGGCAGTGGGGCCCGCCCCTGCGGCCCCTACGCCCACCACGCCACCTCCGTTCACCAGAGGTTCCATCGCTGCTCGGGCTGCACCAGCCCAGACTTGGCTCCTCGGGGAAACGGCCTTGTGGTTCTGGGAAGGGGAAAGAGCAAGTTGATTGCCACACTGCAGCTTGAAACTATGGTGCCTGGGGTTTGATTTTGGTTACCAAGGGAGCGAATATAAATTGCCTCTCACGGGACGAGCGGAGGTAGCGTTTGTGGACAGTTCATCGGCCACAAAGCTTTATTCTTCGACGGAAATAAAACAAGAAAACACCGTGTATCATCAGCTAAAGGAACGAGAAAGCCTTTAGTGTCTGCTACGAACTGAGTGCCACAACCAAGTGAGGTTCGATGAAGGCTGAAATTTTTATGGTATGCTATTTCACGTTTAAAGCCATTTACAATCTAAGCTTCATTTTCAAATTTATCCTTGTTCCACTGCTGTGTCACGTTTAAAGCCATTTACAATCTAAGCTTCGTTTTCAAATTTATTCTTGTTCCGCAGCTGTACACAAGCTGACGTCGACCGGTGGATGAAGAGGTATAAGGACAAGCACATCAGAGGCTGCGAGACCTCTCTCGCTATTTGTATGTAGGTGAGACGCTTTTGCTAAATTATTGCCAGATTGCAAACTCGTGAAAGGGTCAAAAATGCCTCCATTGATTCCACGCAAGCTGCGGTACCATATCCAATCAGCAGCCGAGAGCACTCTCGCCTTCACGTCAACCACAATCAGACCCCCGCAACGGATCTCCGACTGGCGCCTTTACAGCGCCCTTTTTTGTGGAGACAGTTAACGTCCCCAAATGAGGACATTGCTTGCTGGTATCAGAGCAGCGAAGGTGCATACGGCAGACACCTGGCATTCTTCTATAGGTCGCCTTCCAGCTTGACACTTAAGGGAAACTTCGGCACTTACAAGATGGGACAGCACGAGGACAGCAACGCTTGTGTTTGCTCATCTTTTTTCACTGCAACGTCTACGACCGTCCCCCAGGATCATGATATCTGACAGCACGACACGCTGGCTCCTGTGATGTAATTTGTGGCGACTTGAGGACAATTTACAATGCATGGACAGCATAGGATGCAAAACACACCACTCGAAATCACGTTCTAGGCACCAAAGTCATACTGCACTAGATAAACTGCCTTGCACAGCAGGGAGACAAGCTACCTTATCAAAGGGAAGAGCATTCCACACAAACTACCGTAAATATCCTATTCCACTTTCAACTTTTGTGTCAAAAAAAAAAAGTGAAGGCAGGCTTTTGTGAAAACTTCCATCTTGGATGCACATTGCAGGTTCTTTAGCTGCAATGTATGTCACATTGAATAAACCTACCATGTGCAGCTTTATGGTAATTGGAATGACTTTGTTCCTATTGACTTAAGCCACCAAAAAAAATGTAATACAAATTGGACTGAACGAGAGACCATTTTTAAATGTGAAAATTTCTACTAGACAGAGCCTTTTTAATGCAAGCAGGCATAACCCCGCTGCACTTAAAACACCAGTATTCATTTGTGTATAGACCTTTCTAGACTGTCTCACGGGCACTGCCATCTTGGAATCGTGCGATGCGGTCGCCGTAAGGCGTTTCACCGTCTCGCTCTGTAAAGCGTCGTCCGACGCTTATCTTTACTGCCCAAGTCCATGTCATAATCATAAGCACAACTTCTCCACTTGATTTTATAACACGTTTTGGCTATCTCCATCAGCAGCATACTGGCTACGTGTGGTGAGGTTAGAGGAGGCACAGGAATCAGCCTTAGCATTGGCGCACACAGAGTTTGTAGGTGAGCATGAGTTGAGAGGCCAATGGCCTACACCAGCTCAGGTTTTCTCGAGGACAGTGACAACACATTCAAAATAAGAAGTGCAATGTATATATATGATAGCGCATTTAGGATCGTAATACGCAACTAATATAGTCAACGTAAGGATTCACTGTGGGTGTCTCACGAAAGCATCGTGCTCCACCTTCCTAAAAATTCAAAAACAGCGGCTTTTGATCATATGGTGGTAAAAACATTAGCTTCATGGGCTCATTTAGGAATTTAAAGTAACTGTGCATTGCACCCAGTTCCATGTCTGTGGTCACTCAAGTGCTTCAACAATTATCTTCAAGGGCCACTGACAACCCCAAGATCGATATTTTTCTTTTACCGTCTCAAAAGCTTCAAAAACGCGTGGTGGAAGACAAAAAAAAAAAGAAATCTTAGTATAAAAGAAAAAGGATTTTGCAGCGCAAAACAGTTTGTCAAAGTTTGTGTCCTCCTCACCAATTTGAGCTCCTCCTCACATCTTTTCTTTTGTTATGTAATTGGCGAAGGAATTTTTAAAAATGGTAAGAGGTGTCGCAAGCTGCATATCTATAATATTTATTATTGTCATTCATGAAATATAGTTCTTTCAACGACGACAGTAAAGGCACTACATGCTGACTTTGAAAAATAAAAATCAGAGACCGGAAAGTGTTAATGACGAAACATCAGCCATCTCCTAGCTTTACCTTCATACTCTCAATATGGCGGCACCCAGTCGCTGTGCCGAGGGCGTTGAGAGGCATGCGCACGAAGGTGAAGTCCAAGACAGCTCGGACGAGTTCTTTTTCTCGGTGCCGGACGACCTCTTAAATAACCTCTCGCGCAGCATCGCCCCTAGCGTCGCTCACAAACGTCTGCTATACGGATTCGTCTTCCTTACCTTTTTAAAAATTGTTTTAGACCGACCAACGCAGCTAAAAAACAGAGGAACTGAAAAAGGGTGCGTCGTCTGCATGCAAAGAAAGGTCTCGCGAAATACTTTCACGGTTGGCCGGGTAGGACGTGCGCGTGGCCATGAACGATGGGAGGGAAAGAGAGAAAGTTAAACAACACTTCTTGCTTGAAGTCGTTCGAAGAGGAACAGAATAGACCACTTCGCTAACTACGTCATAGTTCAAGCAAGTGCTTCAAATCAAGCCTTCTGAAAAAAAAAACATTTTTTTCCTGCAAATACAGTTTTTGAGCTTGATCTTTTTAGGGCAATGCCTAGAAATCATTTCCAGTCGTTTCAAAAGCGTGTCACAGACAGCTTGCGAGCGCATCAGGTATACGCAATAGGTGGCGGCACCCAAAAGAAGCCGCCTGTACACAAATCACCCAAGTGCAGCGTTGGCGATGTCGGATTTACTTTCGGCAGCTGGCGACGCTGCCGAAAGGAAAAAGCACTTCCGTTTGAACAAATTAAAATTTGTCTACACAAATTCTGACATTCGACTTCAGACAAGCTTGCCGGAGGTCACTTCTCTTGTGCTTTTTAATTTCATTTCGCAAATTTCGCGGAAAACCGATACACACCCGCCGGCAATATGAAGGTGAACACCTTACCTGGTTTCTTGCCTGTTTTACGGCTCCCTAAAGCTATATTAACTCTCAACGTCTCAAATGGTACGTGGTTTGAGGGTCTAAACTTTGCGTTCTAGCCCTCTTCTGGAACAGAGCTTGTTCCAAAACTTGCACGAGTGTCAAAAACAAGAAGAGGGATGTTCACCTTCATATCGCTCACGGGTGTACTCGCTCGACGGGTCAGTCACTATGTTCTGAATATGTGGAAGAAAATGTACATATAACAAATAGCTTATTTTTTAAGGAAACCTTTGCGAAATTTTGTTAATAGACACCTTAGGAGGGTAGATAGTTGGAAAAAAAGTTTCCTACTCTGCCTAGGATGGGCCATCCAAACACCTTAAGTCTTTAATTTCAAAAAAAGAAGAAAAAAAGACAGGTAGAGACATTATTGTTTCTTTTTCACAGTCTGCACGTCATTACAGAAGGGCTTTCCGGTGGGCGATGTTCAGAAAAAATTGGTGTCATCGAAAATTAAAAAGTGAGCACGAACCATGCGAGTTGATCTGTTCTCAGTGATTGAGCACATTGTTACTCAGGTTGTCAAATTATTTTTTTTTATGCTTCCATGCATTACTCTCTTCATTATATTATTATGGAATTTAGTGTCGGCGGGTACGGCAGTGGACAATAGCAATCCTCCTTCCGCATCGGTTCAGTCGTTTCGCCGCCGAACCTGGCCAAACGACGAACATGAACATGTTCGTAAAAACATGCACAATTTAGACTCGAAATCACTTCATAGTTCTTAAAGCGGTCCAGTACCACTGTATCGATGGCTGCGCATCTCAAAAGACATTTGTTTAATGAAATGAAGCAAAAACTATGTAGCACATCAACGCAGCCACGAGCGCGCCGAAACTGACCAAACTGAACCCACCTCATGGTGGCAAGCAAGTTGGCACCCTCTATCCGCCGGTCAGATGACTGCTCAGATGGAAAGATCTATAAGCCCAGGCTCCCAACTAAAAGAAGTCCATGACATTTTCTGAGCTTGAAAAATGGTCCCCGAATCTCTACCCTACGAATACCAAAGCGTTAACTCGCGAGAACAAATAAATAGCTCCGGGTTGCATGTAGTAATGCTGCAGTGCCAAACACCACGCCACATGCAGTAATGCTAACACTCACTAGCCTGACCTAGCAAAGTACAACATAAGGTAGGAAACATAACAGCAATATATGTTCAATGCACTCGGAAAAAGGAAGTATATATGCAACATGGAGCGGATAACTGCCAAGAGACTGCATTAAAGGGATGGTGAACCCAACATTTCAGTGTCTATAATAAGCGGTGCACTATCTTTTCATGAGTAAGCAGCCCCTGGTGTGCACAAGCACACACAACGGAATTGACGTCATCATATCCGCATTCACGCTTAATAAGCTCGAATGGGGATATGATGACGTCAATTTGTTTAAGGGTTCACCATTCCTTTGACAAACATACCAGAGGGAAATTAAATGCTACTAATCACTACTGTAAACGACTACGGTATTTTTTGGTCTACAAGTTGCACCCTGCTATAAATGGTAGTTTTTACGAAAAAGCAAGTATACATAGGTTGCAGGCGACGTCATTCAAAGAGCGCTCCGATGAACACCAGAGACGAGGGCAAGAAGGAGCTCCCATCTTATCAGGACCCTCTTTTATGCCTCCCGGATTTGCACAGGTGTCGCTATTCTCCTCCCAG